TTCACACAGACAGGCATCTGAGATCGGCTCGATTTGAGAAAGGGGAAAACATTTAACCAGATTAAAAAGAAAAAACACTGGGTGGATTTTTATCATTATAGGGTGGTTGTGTACACACACTACCAACAGACATTTCAGTTCAAACAACTTGTAAAAGTGCATGTAGCATCCTATGACCCCTTTAAAGATGACATATATGAGAATACGGATAGGCAGCCAGAGGACAGAGAGAACTCAGGAGTAATGATTTGTTTGCACTGTTTTATCCTTAATAATAATTCCTTTTTTCTCCTACACCTGGAACAAAGCTTAGAAAGACAGTGAGAGTGTGTGTGGTTGATATACATTCTCATACACATAGATGCTGGGTTAGTTGATTAGTGTATTAAGATTCACTGGAGCTGATAGCATGATTGATTTTTAAAGTCCCGTGGCTGCAGCATATTGTAGAGCTTCAGGCAGTGTGTAGCTCAAATCAGGAACATTCACAATATTCACAGGGCACTGCACACAGTCTGTGTGCTTATATCGGCTTTACTCATGGTTTTTATTCCCCCAGTGGAATGAAATCTGTGTGTTTTTAAATGAGATTTAAAAAAAAAAGATTGAAAGAAAAACAGTTTTTATGTACATGCTTTTTTGTTGGCAATGAATTTTTGAATTTATGTTAGAACGAATTTATAACCAAACACCCAAAAAAGTTGTTTTATCTAGAAAATAACTTTAAAGTAATAGTCTTTCACAATATAATTTTAAAAAGCTTTATTTGCTTTTGTTCTCATTCATTTGAACAAATTTTACCATCACTTAAATCAAGTGGTCTTATTGGTTAATCAACAAATGTTTTGATGTTCCTTAAGATTTTTGTTTATGTCTGTTAAGTATCAAACACATCAAAACATAATGAATGAAACGAATCCAAAAATAATGAATTTTCATCACAGAATTGCCAGTCACCAGTGTGTTATTGAGCATTTTGTCAGCACAGAACAGCATAGACTGTAAAGGAGATGAACATGAGGCTTGTCAGACAGATTAAAGAGGTGGCTATTAGTTAAATCAATAGTAAACAATCAAGATACATATTTCAAATCAATGAAAAATGCTACAGTACTGCAATGTACAGTCATCACATTACAAAATGCACTTGCATTACCCAAACAAACTGACATAAAATCCATGATGTTTGTAATATCTAATGACACCGCCATAAGGTTTTCCATTCTGCCAGTAGAATATAGTATACTGTCAGTACTGTTAATTATATTGACTTATAAAATTGAATTTGCACATCTTCATGATTGCTCTAATGGGCAATGTCGTTCATTCACAAAGTCAGTGCATACACACAAACACTTTGAATGTACATGGTAAACATATATTTTGTTTATCAGATAATGTTCAGATGATCAGATGCACATCTGAATATGTGTAGAGATACCAAAGGATTTGTTAATGAACCATTAAGAACAGTTGGATTTGTATGTAAACATGAGAACAGGTGCAAATGAAAAGTTTAATGTTATCTACATTGTGAAAGTAAATTGTACCAAGCTAACTAAAATATGCTTAAAGATTTGAGAGGGGAAAAAAATGAAAAAGATTAAAGAAGATACTCATTTGAAGAAAGATAATTCTGTTTGAATTTGTGTGGAGAAAAAAACATGCAGTACCACTCTAATGAAAGTACAATAGCAGGTTTTGAATGAAAGATTATGTTTTACAAGTGTGAACGATTTGTCATTTTGTACTGAGGGTTTAAAAAAAGTGTACTAATAATTAATTGCAGCAATGCATCGTTTTTGGTTTTTTTTAGATTTAAATTTAGCACATTAGATTGAGTGAAATGACGTTGAAGACGTTGACATTGACGGCTTTAAATTAATTAAATATAATTATTTACTTTGTCTTCTTTTCTAACGTCTTCATTTCTAAAGATCATGCAGGGCGACACAGCTTTATTTAACAGTAATGAAAAGAATGTGCATTCATTGCCATTGAATTTAACATTAAATTATCTATAAAAATCATGAAAAAGCTTTGAACCCAGCAATTTGGCTTGACTTCATTTAAGGTAAACCACATCTAGTAGCGGTTTGTTGGAGAACATTTTGGGGCGAAAATATAAGGAGCCTCAGTAAAGTTAGAAAATAAGAAAATAGGCTTTTGAAATGGTTAGTCAGATTTCCAAAAACTGAGTATTTTTTAATCATATTTTCTATAGTTAAAATGATGTTGTCAGATGGCGGACAGTAAAATACCAGCTTTAACTTGAAGGAAAAGGTTTTTTATTTTTTGGAGCATTAGAACAATTGCACAAATGTACGCTGTTTTTTCAACGTACCTCTCTGAGTTCTGTGGAGCAAACAACAGATGTCGTCTTTTATGTAGTGCATACAGTTCAATTTATAGGTCAGAAACTACACAGCCCACTCACTCTTGATGAATCTTTCGATGCAAAATAAATAATCACAGCAATATCAGTTTAAAACCTTCATTTGTAGCAGCTATACTGCTATAAAGGCAATCTTGATTGTAAATACAATAAATTAGTTGTTTGTAAAGTAGTTGTGCAATATAAACATGTGATAAACAAAAAAAAATTACTAGATATACTATCTTTGATACTTTAGTAATT